TCTCCCAGTTTGAACCTCTATTCCTGCTTCTGCCACTTTAGGATCTTTTGAATCTCTATATAGGATTGCATCCCTTGTCTTTGCCACTTTAAACTCTGAATCCTCTGAAGGGGAGTTGCAATGTGTTCGATACTTCATACTGAGCTGCACTGCTCAAAGTTCTCGGTAAGCCAAGCCATCTTCTCAAATATCTAACTTTCTTCTCCATATTCTAAACTGCCACTTCATATAATGTCAGGGACCATGCAATCTTTAGTAAAATGGCATATTGATATATCCATGCCTTAAAAAGAGACGGTAAGTTTTGACTATTTTATATATAGAGATAAATATGAATAAGTGATAGAAATGTTTTTGGGATTTGAATAATTGTTAATCATAGTAATTCATTGAGCCTAGAAGATTCCTCAACAGAATGCAGAATGCACTGGATGGCCATTTCATCCTTTTTGGGACTTCTCAGCAGTGCACATCCACTACTGAGAATCGAATGCAGGCTGTTACAATGCAATTGTCATACTACTAGATCAGCAGTCCTTGGTGACGAAGAAGAAACTAACTAGACTTAATATAGCACAGCTACTCATATATATATATATATATATATATATATATATATATATATATATATGAATGAATGATAGGTTTCTACTATTTATTTCCAGCTAATGAATAAACATACTTTTCATATAATTAACTGTATGTATATGTAATAACTAAATATGCATAGAAAACATAAAAAATTTTGATATAATAGAAATAAATCCCATTTAACCATTTTAATGTCTCAAAAAAGTATTTGTACAATGCAAATTTCAAGATTTTAAAACTTTTAAATTGCTTTAATACTCTATATTATTCAAGTGGAATATTCTAGAATGTTCCAATGTTATCAGTAGTTATTTGAAGCCTAAAAAATACAGACAACATTCTGTAATTCATGCAAGAATGTTTTCATCATAGCAAGAGGTAAAGAATTGACAAATTCACTGATTGTTAAACTCTGGAAAGAAGGTAAGTTACAGGAAAATCACAGACAACCTGAATATTCCATTACCATTGCAAGGTATAAAAAACTCAAAACTGTTGAAAACCAAAGAAGAACAGATGCTCCATGGAAGATCATGATCTTTGAGGAAATTAATGTGTCAAATTAAACAAAGTTCAATGGTTACTTGTCAACAGTTGCAGGATGATTTGCTTTCATCAGGAATGTGTGTAACAAAACAGACAATAGGCAATGAAATTCATAGGAACAATCTAAAGTGACACACTCCCCTCAGAAAACTCCACTGCTATTGAAAAGACACAGATGCCAGGTTGAAATTCATTATGAACATAAAGATAAGGGAAAATTGTATTGGAAAAGAGTATTATGGACAGACAAAACCAAAATTGAGTTGTTTGGATGTAATTCTAAAAATCATGTATGGAAGATTGATGGTGATGCCTTCAAACAAAAGAACACAGTTCCAACAGTGAAATTTAGTGGTGGCAGCATCATAGTTTGGGGATATTTTCTTACATATCAGTAATAGACGGTAGAATGAATGCTGCAGCATATCAAAATATTTTGGAAGCAAATTTAATCATTTCTGCTAAAAATCTTGAACTTCCTTCTGATTGGATCTTCCAACAAGATAATGAAAATGGTCAAGTCAATCCCCAGATTTAAACCCAATCGAGAATCTGTGGCATTATTTGAAAATTCAGATCCAATCGAGAGCTCCAACAAACATCCTGGATCTGAAGACCATTTGCAAAAAGAATGGAACAAAATGCCAACTAAAATTTGCAAATCATTAATTGAGAACTACAAGAGGTTGGGTGAATAATGGTTATTCTACAAAGTATTAAATGAAGATTATGTATTTTACAAATACTTTTTCACTCATTAAAATGGATTTTATTTCTATGCATAGTTATACATCGGTGTACAGTTAACTACAGGAAAAGTATATTTATTCATTAGTTGTAAATACAATAAATTAGAAATTTGTACGTGTACAAATACTTATCGGGCTGTGTGTGTGTGTATATACACACACACACTAGCTTAAAAACACATTATCACATGGCATTTACACTAGTTTCTGTGGAGGGCACTTGATTGATGACACTTCATACATTCAGTACATATTAAATTTTATTAAACTTGAACAATATTTTTCAAACAATATTGTTTTTCATCAAAACAATCATATAATTTGTCTATTTGAAACTTATTGCGAAGCTGCATAATAAACAGCATTTTTTTGTTTTCCCATTTGGGGTCATTACAAATAGCTTGTTTCCATTGCCAACTTTTGAGCAACCATGAGAAAAGCAGGGTTCCATCAGATGAAGTCCAGTTACTTTCAATGATTGTCCTTGGAATTTATTGATTTACATTGCATAGAAACTGACAGTGTGACACATTTTCACATTTATTATATAGAATAAAGGAGATGTTGAAAGTTAGAGAGTTGTGTCCCTTTTTGTGGCACTCACAGACCTTTTTCATTTATTATATAGATATGCTTTTACTATTTTTATATATTATATATATATATATATATATATATATATATATATATAATAAATGTGAATGGCAGTGTGTTACACTTTTTCAACTTTACTCTGAGAGGCCATTTTTTTTTTTTTTTTTTTTTAAATTCATGTTGGCAGAAAAATTATTGTTGAACTTTTTAAAAGTAAGCTTAAATAATAATACAATACTTAAATGCAGCAATAAATTTTGAATTCTTCTGTAGTTTATTGTTGCCTACTGCATATATTCCTTCCTACCTATTGTGATGAAATAGAAGTTAGTGGTTTTATTACATTAAGTCAAAAATTATTACTAACTGAAAATCTAAAAAAAATTGCAAAAATTGGCACCAGGATGGAAATTTAAGGTTTATCCAGGTTTAGGCCCCTCTCAGTCAATATCAAAGAAAGGTGGATGTCTCACCTTTTCCAAAGTTAAAGTAAGTTATGGATTCAGCTGTTGCAAGAAGGCTTTTCCTGGTTTTCAGGGATGTCTAAAAATGGGATAAACTGAAAAATTGTAAAACTTTGCATTTTTTCAAAATTTTAAACCTAAATAATTTGCTACAGCTAGCTTGAAACCATTATATTACAATGTTGACCTTACAGCAGCATATGCCACATCAATAGATTTCTTATCCATTATAAACTTCCTTCCAAACTCTTACAGTCTTGATCTGATAGAGGGATTATGTCTGGCAAGGGCTCCCAATACCAAAACATTTCTAACCTCATCAGGATTGTGACAAGTAAGAGAAGAGAGGCCAAATCTATTTAATCAATTCCTAGAACTTGCACAGATGTGAAACGATAGATGCTAATCATTTAAGCATTCTATATTGCATCCCAAATGAATCTACTAACAGAAAAAAAAAATCCTGCTTTTCCACCCAAGGCCAATGTATTGATGATGAGGTGGACTATGCCAGTGACATTAGGTATTCATAGTTGGGATAAAAATGACCTTAAACAAAAAACCATCAACATCCAAGTGTTCCAAGATATAGGATTTAAGCTAAACCTTTCCAAAAAAAAAAACTGGTTTGAAATGAAAGCTGTGGTGGCACATACCCTGAATTCATGATATGGAATTAGTAAATGCTAAACACTTCAAATGGTTTGATCTATGGATCTGTTATAAGAATATTAGTATTGGTGATAATGAAATTGAACATAGAATAGGACAGTTTTGTCAAAACATTAACCTAAAATATCTAGCCATGTTCTTTGTCAGATCGAAACTTTCACATGGATTTCATGCATGGCTCCAAATATGTTCAGAAATACCTGAAACTGTCAGTTGTATAAAACCACTTTCTTACATCAATGGTTAAAAATGGCTTCAAGTGAGTGAAGAGTGTAGGTCACAGTGAGACCCATCCTTCTTTGAACCTTGTGGTCTGGACCTACAGAAACACAAAAAAGAACTGTACCAAATAACAGAAACCACATTACTTGAGGACTTTCAACAACAGCAATAACTAAAATTGATAACACATCTAACTTGAAGAGAAAATAATGATATAATCAGGACATTAATGTTCCACACTACTTTGAATAAAAGGTTAAGAAGGAATTTCGTATCAGTTGTAAAAAAACAAAAAAAAAAGCAATAACAGTTACTGGATTTGAGAAACCTATTTACTGAAAAATCGTTTTAATAGAAAGATTTCATAAATTTCAACTGAAAGTAACACTGGAAGCTCAGTCAATATAAGCTGAATTTAAGTTCTTTCATTTGTTTTTAGAATTCTGTTAATCCAAACTTGAACTCCAGTTACCTTCCCCACATACCAATTTACCTCCAAAAATATAACTGTTTGGATATAATAGAGATCATAAGGGATATAAACTAATTCTACTTCTAAGAACTTCTTGTTGCATTGAATACCAATTTTGACATTATCCACTCTACCATTTGTGAGGTCAGAATATATTTTTGTATCGAATAGCAAACTATTTTAGTTTGTTTTGATAGAAATTGCTTCATTTAGCTGAAAATGATGATGTGCTTTTTATGGTCTCCCACACATAGCTTATACGCAACTAAAATTTCTTATAAATTTTCCTGCCCAAAAATAGGTCATTGAGCATTGGAATTTGAGTATAATTGTTGTATGAACACAAACAGAAGCCTCTAATATATGTGTGTGGTGGTGGGGGTACTAAAATGTTCTGTTTTACCCACTCCCCAGAATATGACTAAAATAAACAAACCTCTTGATTAGGCCAAGAACTTTTCAACATTTCTTGTGTGTATGTATATATGCAGCAATTTTTTTATTGATACTTTTTTTGTTAAAAATAAATGCTTGTCTAATGAGTACATGCCATTGAAATATCTAGTTAAATATTTTTGTTCATGTTCATTTAATAGAGCCAAATGAAATTAAAGTTTGACTATTTTAATTTTATTTTTTAACACATTTAATGTGTTTGTGTATATATTCTATGTTTTTATTTTATAACAGTTGGCTGATCATTTTTGCAATAGTATTGGCATCCTTCAGCAGTGTGCACAGTCAAGCCCTTTTCCAGGATTTGAAAGGCCAGGAAATAAATCTCCTACAGAGCCACCACAAGAAGGTAAAAATGTTTTGGATGTCCCTATAAACTGCTAAGCCAGATTATAAACATTATTTTTTCTTTTCTTTTTAACAGTTTTAAATTTGAAGAATATACAAAATGGCTTGTTGATTTTTATAAAACTTAATATAATGTTTGCTTTTTAATACAGTATTTACTGGAAATGCATTCCTGAATTTTTGAGTTCAGAAATTTCCTTTACATTATTTATACTTTCAAATTTTCAGTTGTCATACTTTAAACCCTTTTTTAGTTGTCTGTCATACTTGGTAATCTTCTTGGAATTTGAACAGCTTTTTATTCAATCCATGAGAAGATCCAACTTCCTATGCTGAGAGGAAGTTCAGGTTTTGTCCAGTGAATGTTTGTATGGATATTAGTACATCTAGAAAGACCAAATCATCCTTTTCCTGAACTGTTTATATAAGATCTTATTGAGTTTACACATTCTAGTAGTGCTTACATATCTTCCAAAGGCAAATTATTCAAATATTGAGGAGGCGGCATTGGCAATTGTGTGGAGCATGGAAAGAACTAGAATATGTTTTTTTTGCTTGAATGCAGATTTCTATTAAAATTGGAGTTTATATTTAATCTCAGAAGAGTTGCCAAAGTTCACATCTGCCAGAATATTAAAATGAGCAATTAAGCTTATGGTGTTCAACTTTCACCTCATATATATTAAAAGAAATACTATTTTGCATGTGGATGCATTATCTCAATTAAATTTTGAGAGGAAAAATGTTGAAGCAAGTGAAATTGTGAGGATAGGATTCTGCTCTAGATAGAAATGGACATATTACCCTTAAATTGGCTTAGGTTGGGAACTAGACGGGATCCAGTGTTGAATAGAATTATGGATAGAATAAAGAAATACATGGCTCTATGGTTGAGGGGCCTTATAAAGAGTCAAGACATAAATTAACAAGAGAAAAAGAAATCTGTAACGAAGATGTCATAGGATCTCCATAGTCTCTGTAAAAAGAAGTAATTAAAGCTGTGCATGATGATATACATGGAGGTATATTGACTACACAAATGAGGTTAAAGTTACAAGCATGATGGCTAGGCTAATCGAAAAACTTGGAAGAATATGTTAAAAAATGCCCAAAGTGTGCAGAAATTTAGAGAAACTAAAATTCACTCTTGGCTAAAGGATATGGCACCGTGGACAATAGTACATACTATTGTGGCCTGTTTAGGGTCCAGAAAGAAAGACACAGAAGACGATGGTAGGTTGAAAAAGTATATTGAAGATATATACAAAACAATAGTGTTAGTAATAAGTAGATTAGCACTGCGTCTACTACTCCACTCCACTTCACCCTCTTCTCATCCGACTCTCGCAGTTTGTATTTATGAGAGGAGGAAGAGTTCATTATACTGTAAGAGGGTTTACCACAACAACACCCCTCCTAAAATCTTAACTCCACAGGAGTCTGAATAAATAAATTTTTTTTTTTTTTCACATGTACCTGTAAAAAAGAAAGTTTACACACTTTTTAGTGGTTTTCCTCTGCCTGACTTGTTTTACATTATTGAAAAAAAACAAGCGTTTCCTTTTTACATCTGGCTAGGAATTTAAAACTTGGTTGATTTGTTTTGCCTTGTTCAACATAGAACAAGCTTGTGGTCTTTTTTTTTTTTTTTTTTTTGCCCCATATGGTTTTTTGCTGCCTTTGCTGCTGTTTTCTCCAGAAACTGAAACCTTTTGAACAAAATGCTCATTCCCTTTCACTAGTCCAGGTTTTTTTTAAGTCTAACACAACGTTTTTCTGATCAGAGTTTGCTGAAACTGATGCAACTTTCTTGCTCTGTTTAGGGATAGAGGCCTGTGTACCCTGAGCCAGTTTCTTTGCTTTGGCTTTTGCTTTTGCCTCGAACAAAAACTTCCCTCTTTTTCATCTTGTCAACATGAAGCACTTTACCTTTGCTACTTTCCTCAGTTTCACTTTCTTAGCAGCTAATTTTTTAGCCTTTTTAGACAAACTGTTCTTTGTTTCTACCTTCGATAGATCTCCAGTTCTTACTACTGTTGTGAATTCCTCGTTAATTTGTTCCAATGAGGCAAAAAGCAAATTTTGCTTCTTTTTGAACACTAGCTGGACGTTGTCTTGTAGTTTAATTTTTTGTCAGTAAGAATTTATAGGCAAGTTCTAAAGCTGGAATTGTGTCATCCAATCAGTGCCAAATAGGTTGTTAATATTTTTCAGTACGAACAATTTTAATTTAAGATTCCTCTTTCTTGAACGTTATATTTGTAATCAATTCTCCCTCGAATTTAATTTTTTCTCCTGTTACTGATCTTGCAATCTTGCTTGATTTTATCATGGTTGGCTTACCCAATCTTTTCCATGTTTGCAAGTTTATTATAGTTAAATCAGAACCTGAATCTAGTTGAAATTCTACACTTTTGTTTAACATTTTTACGAGCACGAATTTCCTGATATTAGCACCGTCTCGTTCGTCTGACCTTGTATTTTTTATGCAGCTATTGGTTTTATTTTTAGATCGGCAATGCAAACTTTTGTGTCTGATTTGGTTACAAATGTAACATTGCCAAGTTGTTGTGGCCTGTTAGGGACCAGAAAGAAAGACACAGAAGATGATGGTAGGTTGAAAAAGTATATTGAAGATGTATACAAAACAATAGTGTTAGTAATAAGTAGATTAGCACTGCATCTACTACTCCACTCCACTCTCTTCTTATCCGACTCTCGCAGTTTGTATTTATGAGAGGAGGAAGAGTTCATTATACTGTAAGGGGTTTGCCACAACACATATGGATCATGTCTACATTAAAAGTATAGGACTATTTCTGATATTAGTTGACTCTTATTCAAGTTGACCTGAAGTTATTAACATCACTGATAGAAAAGCCACTACTGTGAAGTGGTTATTGAGGATACTGTTCTTGAGAAATGGAGTATCAAAAACTTTGGTTTCCAACAATGCACCTGAGTTTTGTGAAGAAAGTTTATGTGCATAATTAAAGCATTGGCTGAATTCATTACAAAATGCCACCTTACCACCCACAAGTCAAGTGGAATTGTAGAGAAAATGGTAAAAATGGGATTAAAAGCAAATGTTACAAGCTTATTATAATCTGGCAACATTTATGTCTACTGAAAATGAAATGTAATGAACATCATATACATATATATACACACACACACACACACACACACTACATAGTAATAATACATTTAATTTTAAACAGCAATACTAAAATAGACTGGTACCCTCAAAAAGGAAAGAAAAGAAAACTACATGCATGTCAAAAAGTCAGTTTGACGTATTTATATTGCAAATGGCCTCACCCTCTAAAATAATAGTAAATTAATTTTCAATTCTGACAAATTTTCACAACTAATTTTTTGTTGCCTAGCAAAAATTAGTTGTGAAAATATTTTTCCCTATAAGAAATTAACTAATATTCATGTCAGAAAGTAAAGGATTATTTTTTTGACATTTACTGTACATATTTTTTTGTTCCAATAATTATTTTTATTTTATGCTGAAAAAGCTTTATATTTTATATACAGTAATTGTAACACAACAATCTTGTTCTTTCTGCAACATATTCTAAGCTTTTGTTGTAATGTTTGATTTGTTTTTTGAAAATGTTCCACTGCAATGTATCATTGCTAACAATTCTAGTCATCATAATTTGATTCATGCTTTTTGTTTATTTTTATCAATTGTTTAAAGATTTTAAGTTAATATTACTTTTTACAAATAAAAAAAAATTTTGAAAATTCTAAAAAATTGCCACAGTGTCCTTAGTAATTGCTGCGGTGCTCTCATTTTTAAGAGGTCTACAATGCAATTTTTGCCTACCCCTATCTTAGGCTAAACCCATCTCTGAAGAAGAGATGGGGCATATTGGCTCAAGAAGTCCAATTTAGAACCACAAGAGAGCATGAAATTATGGAAGAGGAAGCAGAAGAACAAATGATGCAAGAAAGGATGAATGAATCCAGTATTGAGAGTGATCAGTAAGACTACCAGAGATATGAAAGTGGAGAACAGGAGAGAATTTGTATCTAGTAGTAATGAACAACTATCCGGGGATGAGTGACAAAAGATATCATGATGATTCAAATGAGGAGAATCACTTAAGACCTAGATCTCCTATATAAAAAGAAATAAAGAGGCTCACTCTGAGGAATGGATGATGTCTCCCAAGCTTGTTTGTCAAAGATCAACTAAAGGTATAAAGCCTCTTAGGTTCAGGGAAGTGTAGTGATATGTAAATGAGGTACAGTATAAAAGCTCTACCTATGGGAGAGTTATCTGTCATAGAGAATACCTATCTTAACAGTACAGTTACATTTTATTCAATAATATATTCACCATGACTTGTTGCCACAGTTGTGGCAAAACTTTGATAGCTTTTGAGTAAAATTTCACAGGTTTTGATGTGAAAGTTTTTTTACAAACTCATGAATCTGGTTTTAGAGAAAGTTTTTCCCCCATTCAAATCATTTTGCAACAATGGAAAAAGGTAATAATCAGTTGGTGCAAGCTCATGTGAAAATTGTAGGTTGGGTAGAACAGGTCAATCAAGTTCCAAATATTTTACCTGTAGTGTACTTGCTGTATGCAACCTTACATTGACATGGAGAAAAAGAACTCTAAATCATCCCATACATAAAATTAACTTTCTTACATGGAGCTCAGCTTTTGGGGTCAGTTTTGGAGATTTATATTTGTCAATCCATTGTAAACCATTTTACATTACCTGTTATGATCCTTTTATTTCTCAGTTGGGAAAGTTGGCTTGTCACTATGGATAAACAATTGGCTTTGTTCTTTTTGTGAATAGCATATGGAACCAAAACACCCAACTTGCTGACTTTCCCTAAATGCCAGCCTGTGATAGATTGTGATGTGTTTAACATCTTTTTTAATTCCTGATTATGTTACTGTGGATTGGCTTTCCATTAATGACTTTAGTACTTCATCATTAAAATCCAATGAATGCCTCGGTGTGTGTT